TCTCTTGCCCTCCCCCTGTGCAGTCACCTTCAGGCCATGTAGTGTAGTAGATGCCTGCTTGTTTGACGTAAGGGACCTGAGGGGGCCAAGGTCCTGCTGGATCAGTGAGAGTAAGAACAGAAACTACTAGAGGGAGAATAGAGGTTAGAAGAGGGCAGCAGAGACCAATGTACAGCAGAAGAGGGCACTAGTAAACTGACCTATTTCAACTACAAGTGTTAAACTCTGAGCTGGTTATCAACTGAGACTGCAGAAAAAAGTTGACTTTATAGTTGGAGCAATAATGCACTTTTCCCGTTTATGACAAATGAACGACACCAATTATTTTTAATTAAAAAATTTAGTCTCACAGCCAATCACATTACAGAACCTTTGTTTCTGGTTCTTCACAATCCAATAAATGAATCAAATGAGGTAAAAAGCTGGCAAAAGAAGTGGACATCAGATGCAAAACTAAGTGAATACAAAAAATATTTTACCTCAAGAATGCATTTTGTACCAACATGCCCTACTTTAGTAACATGCCTTGTCACTTTGTCTAGGATGAGATATTGTACCTGTTAGCTGTTTCCTTCAGAGATCTAATTTTTTTTCCAGTTTGCTAAAACCAATATAACCCTCCCTCCCCTCTCGTCCCCCACCCCAACACAAATACTTACACTCAAGTAACTTAAATGGGATTGCTTCCATGCAACTTTACGCAAGTGTCTAAAGTTACCAGAGTGGGTAAGTGTTTGCAGGATTGCAACCCAAGTATCTTTCTGTATTGCACATTTCACAACAATTCTGGTTTTATGGGCATTACACTTATTTTTAAAAATGTTTTTGTGTTTATCCTTGAGCCCTAGATTGTATGCTAATATAACCATTGTCTGAAAGTACTCAATGCTAATGTAAACACTGTGTTAAAAGAATATAGTTTATTCTGTTCTCTTAGCATGGGATATATTTTTTATTTGTCTTTGGTTGAGTTTTCTTAAGATCAAATTAAAATGGAAGCATTAATATATCAGTCAGTTCAGAGCTATTAATAATTTTAATTAACTCAGTGAAAAACTGTTTGCTTTTATTGACAGGAACTATTAACTCACATGTGCACAAGAGGCACAGAAATAAAATATCTTTTTGCATAAGATTTAAATAATTAAAATAGAATAGTTTGTGGTTAGGTTCCACAATGTGTTCAACATCTGCAGTTTTGTGTCTCTGTCGGGATGCATAGCTGTGCTGAAGTCACATCCTGATAACATCTGCACATTAGTGATAGCATTTGCTTTATTCTTTATGGTCTGCTGAAGAGAGATACTTCAACCTTCTCTCAATAACCCCCAATTTAAAATTTTGCTTGAGACAGCCAAACATCATAAAATATGAAAATACTTTGCTTGAATGTTTTAATCCTGGTGCTCTTTTGCTTGTTTTTTCTTTCATGTGACATTTGTTATAGCGTTTGCCAGCACATGTGAATCTTAAAATAGATGTTTCATAAAACATATTTGTTTCAAATTGTTTCAACTCATGGTTGAGATGAAAGCCCTTCTTTTTAAAAGTTTTCACTGAGGAATAGCACCTATATTCCTGCTTGCATGGCAACAACAGCTGCATTCACATGAAAAGGCTAGCTTGTTAAACATCGTGTAACACCAAATGTAGTGAATATTTTAAAGGTCAGGTATTGACAGACTCTGAATTGCTTATGTTTCCCTAATGACCCCAATTACATCCAAGCTGAGTAAGTAGTAAATAAACAATGACATTAACATATGTAGAAAAAGTGTTTATTTTACATTTCCAAGACAATTGGCAATCTCCTAGTTGTCATAGAAATGCAGAAGCTGGATCATAGGGCCCTTTGATGAATGAGAAGAACAAGATAATGGTTGAAGCAAAATGATAATGGTTGTGGGTCTTAGAGACCTCAGGCCTGTCTGAGAAACTTCAGGTTGGCTATCTCACACTCACACCCACAAAGCGGATTTATCACTGTGATTATGCTTAGTTTAAGAATCTAAGGGAACAGGATACATGTAAAAGATTAGTTATACTGACCCTTCTACAATGCTCTGTACATTCAGTTGTATATTTAGCAGGAATATTTAAAGACCATTATGGAACCGATCAAGCCTTAAATTTAAAAGAAACTATCATTGATTTGTATGTTTTACAAATTCTCAGTAATCTAGGGCAAGTAAATCGGCTGTCTTTTAACATGTTCTCTTACTGTATGAATAAACTTTCTAACCCTGTTTGGAATAGCATAGTGACTTTGCAATCCATTATTTGAAGCATGCATAGAACTGTCAAATAATAAATTAGGCACTCAGGGGCCCCATGCTGTACAATATGGAGACAGGAAAAAAAGAGATTTATCAAAAGAAATTGTAAAATATTAACAAATGGGACAAAAGGTTTCAGATTCATTCAATTTCCTTTCCAGGCTGCAGGCCACAGCTTTAGTGTAGGTGCATTAGCCTGCCAGCTGCCTCACATTGCAACAATTATCACTGGCTGTTGAAGGAGCAGCTTGACTCCTCTCCCAGCTAGTAAGTAGAAATGTTAGGATAGCAGCCAGCCAGGGAGGTGAATGTAAACCAGATACAGATACAAATCAGAACAATGTGGCAAATTGATCAAAAAATGAAGCCCTTATGAAGATTATTTTATGGTGTTTTCTTACCAGGGGGTTGTAGAGGGGACAGTTAATTTATTAATATTACTAGGTATGACGGCAGAATCTGCAGGGCCTAATTCAGATCAGAGCGCAAGCATGTTAAGTTTTGTATAACACATAATAGGAAGTCTCTGCTCTAAAAAGTTTACAGTATAAATAAAATATGGGAGAAAGGGGGTATTACTATCCCCATTTTACAGCTGAATAACTGAGATTAAGAGAGATTAAGGCCCCAATCCAGATGTTTAAATCCTTTGGTGGGTAAGGCCTTAAGTCTCAGACTAACCACAGGACCATCCTTCCTCCTTTTAGTTCTTAATCTGATGATGTTTTAGAGGCCAGGCAATCTGTTTTCAACTAGAACGCCTGGTTGAAAAGTGATCCTGGTGGCTCTGGTCAACTCTTAAAAACTGGTTGGCAACTCAGTGGAGCTAACGCAGGCTCCCTAGCTTCCCTTGCTCTGTGTGGCTCCCAGAAAATGACCAGCAGGTCCCTGTGGTTCCTAGGTGTACTCTGGCAGCCAGGCAGGAGGGAGGGTCGGGAAATTCGGCACTCTGTCGCTGTCTGAGCACCTGTTCTGCAGCTCCCATTGTCACGGAACTTCAGGCAATGGGAGTTCCAGGGGTGGTGCTTGCTGGCGTGGTCAGCCTATGAAGCCTCCTGGCCTCCTGCCTACAAGCTTCAGGGACTTGGCAGCCATTTCCCAGGAGCCACCTTCTGTAAACATTGCCCCACGTCTTCTCATAGACTCATAGACTCATAGACTTTAAGGTCAAAAGGAACCATTTTGATCATCTAGTCTGACCCCCTGCACAATGCAGGCCACAGAATCTCACCCACCCATTGTTAGAATAATCCTCTCACCTATATCTCAGATATTGAAGTCCTTGAAACGATGGTTAAAAGACCCCAAGATGCAGAGAATCCTCCCACTAGTGACCTGTTCCCCATGCTACAGAGGAAGGCAAAAAACCTTCGGGGCCTCTGCCAATCTACCCTGGCAGAAAGTTCCTTCCTGACCCCAAATACGGCGATCAGCTGAACCCTGAGCATCTGGACAAGATTCATGAGCCAGACGCCCAGAAAAAAGATCTCTATAGCAACTCCTATCTTCCCACCATTGGCCTATTTACCACTGATAGGCTACGTCTAGACTACATCCCTTTTTCGTAAAAGGGATGTAAATTAGACATTATTTGACCTTTCACTATGGCTACGTCTAGACTACATCCCTTTTTGGTAAAAGGGATGTAAATTAGATGTATCGCAATTGCTAATGAAGTGGGGATTTAAATCTCTCCCGCTTCATTAGCATAAAAATGGCTGCCGCTTTTTTTCCGCATGGAGCTTTGTCGGAAAAAAGCACCAGTCTAGACGCTGATCTTGCAGAAAATAAAGCCTTTTCCGAAAGATCCCTTATCCCTCTACGAAATAAGGGATAAGGGATCTTTCGGGAAAGGCTTTATCCCTATGAAATAAGGTGTCTAGACTGGCGCTTTTTTCTGGCAAAGCCCCATGCCGAAAAAAAAGCAGCAGCCATTTTTATGCTAATGAAGCGGGGGAGATTTAAATCCCCGCTTCATTAGCAATTGCGATACGTCTAATTTGCATCCCTTTTACGAAAAAGGGATGCAATCTAGACGTAGCCTATGATTTCATGATCACTTTCATCCAAGCTACCTTCCACTTACAAATTCTCAATCAGTTCTTCCCTGTTTGTTCAAACCATCCCCTTCATAAACCCATCTAGCTTTATCTTGAAGCCAGATAGGTCTTTTGCCCCCACTACTTCCCTTGGAAGGCTGTTCCAGAACTTCACTCCTCTGATGGTTAGAAACCTTCGCCTAATTTTGAGTCTAAACTTCCTAATAGCCATCTTATATCCATTTGTTCTTGTATCCACATTGGTATTGAGCTTAAATAATTTCTCTTCCTCCCTGGCATTTATCCCTCTAATATATTTACAGAGAGCAATCAGCCTTCTTTTGGTTAAGGTAAACAAGCTAAGTTCCTTGAGTCTCCTTTCATAAGACAGGTTTTCCATTCCTTGGATCATCCTAGTGGCCCTTCTTTGTACCCGCTCCAGTTTGAATTCATCCTTCTTAAACATGGGAGACCAAAACTGCACACAGTATTCCAAATGAGGTCTCACCAATGCCTTGTATAACGACACTAACACCTCCTCATCCCTACTGGAAATACCTCGCCTAATGCATCCCAAGACTGTATTAGCCTTTTTCACAGCCGTGTCACAATGGCGGCTCATAGTCATCCTGTGATCAACCAGGACTCCAATGTTCTTCTCCTCTTCTGTTACTTCCAACTGATGTGTCCCCAGCTTATAACTAAAATTCTCATATGCCCCAACTCTCTGTCTGAGTCTCTTCCCGCACTCCACACCTCAGAGCCCCTTCTGCACCCTGAACCCCTCATCCCTAGTCCACAGCGCCTCTGAAACCCTGAACTCCTCATTTCTAGCTCTACTCCAAAACCTACACCTTCCTGCCACCATGTTAGCCCTCTGCCTCAGCCCTGAGCACAACCCCCCCATACCTAAACTCCCTCACAGAGCCTGGACCTACATCTACACTCCAAACCCTTCATCCCCAGACCAGAGCCCCCTCCTTCATCCCAAACTGGTCATCCCTAGCCGCACTCCGTTCTGCAATGGTGAGAAATTGATTAAGTGAAATGTGCCAAGATGATCCTTGCAAGTGAATTTCAGTCATGGCAAGTGACCTCCCAGTGACCAGTAACTGCTAATGTGACCTGGAGAAAAAATCCTTCTCAACTCCAAGCAGGGTAATCAGTTAGACTCAGAGCACCAAGCATGTGAGAAGAGAGACTGCTCAGGGCTACATCATTTCCCCATTTCCAGTTGTAGCCATTGCTGATCTTCCAGAGGAAGAAGGCAAATCAGAGAGAGAGAGAGAGAGAATACTTGAATACTTTTTTGGGGGAAAAAGAAGAGAAGCTCTTCCTGACTTCTACAGCTAAGTGACAGACCTTAAGCATGAGATTTTAGAAACATCTGACATGAGCCAGAAAGGACCCTCAAAGCAACTAAGCTCTGCCTTCCACAGTTGAAAGTAACCTCATCATATGATCCCACTAAAAATGTGTGCAGCTCTCTCTCAAAACCAATTAAGTTGCTTTTCTCCACAGATCCTCTTGGAAGGCTGTTCCAGAACTTCAATCTTCCAATAGTTAGAAGGCACCTAATTTCAAGGCAGAATGTATTCATGTCTAGTAAAAAAACTCCAGTCATCTGAAGAAGTGGGCTGTGCCCACGAAAGCTCATGATACCATCTACATGTTTTGTTAGTCTATGAAGTGCTAGCAGACTGTTGTTTTTTAAGTTTATCCCATACAGACTAACTCAGCTACCCCCTGAAGCTTCTAGATTATATCCATTTGTTCTAGTGTCTTTAGCTTTAAGAACCCACCACCCTCCCTGGCTCTCTTAGTCTCCTCTCACAAGATAGACCCTCTAGATCATTCCAGTAGTTCTTCTTGAAACCTGAACCAGTTTGAATTCATTTTTCCTGAATATCAGTAACCAGAATAGTACAGAATATTCCTAATGAGTTCTTACCAGTGCCTAGTACAATGACATTAATACTTTTTCTATCTCTCCTGGAAATGTCTGCTACATCCTAGAAGACATATGCCTTTGTCACAGCCACAGCTGATTGATAGTCCATAGTCATCCTCTGACTACACATCCAGGTCTCTCTCTTCGGGTGTGTCTAGACTACGTCCCTCTTTCGACAGAGGGATGTAAATTACACTTTGAAATTGCAAATGAAGCCAGGATTTGAATTTCCCATGCTTCATTTGCATAATCACGTCATGGCACTCTTTCGAAAAAGCACTATTTTGAAAGTGAAACCACAGTCTAGATGTGGCTCTTTCAAAAAGAGAAGCCTTTTTTGAAAGATCCTGTAAACCTCTTTTTCTTTTTAGATTTACAGGATCTTTTGAAAAAGCCTTCCCTTTTCGAAAGAACCGTGTCTAGACTGCAGGAAATTCAAATCCCAGCTTCATTTGAAATTTTGAAGTGTCTAATTTACATCCCTCTGTTGAAAGAGGGATGTAGTCTAAACCCTTCCTCTGTTGTGTCCAATTTATAAGTCCCCAGTTTATAGTATGAATTCTCATTAGACCCTCCATGCATGGTCTTGCACTTTGTATTAATAAATTTCATCCCAGTTTTTGCTAATTCATTCTTTAAAGTTAAATTCTTCCTGTATAAACTCCTGGCCCACCCAGTGCGCTCCACTTCCCCCATGGCGCCTACTACCACGGGGCATGTGGGACAGCACCAGGACCACCTGCCTGGTGATCCCTAAACCACATGCTCAGGGTGAGGGCAGGGGATTGTGGGAAGGGACAGGACTTGGGAATCGATAATAGACAAGGCCTCCCGCTGCCTACTGGGAGTACTAGGCCAGATTGCACAATCGCTCTAGCCAGAACTGACTCCCAGACTAGGAATTTGAGACCCCTGCTGTATAAGTTACGGATCCTTCTCTATATGGATGATGCCTCCCAATTTTGTACCATTAACAAAGTTCATCAGCACATTCCTAGTTTTGGTGCCTAGGTCATTAACACAAATATCAAATAACTGCCAATATAACTGATTCTGGGAGAACTTCATTAGTAACTTCCCTCCTGTATGATATCCCCGCATGGGACTTGAACTCAAAAATATAGATTATTATCTTTGTTCTGTTATGAAGGTTTATCTATTGTCCTATCTCTCCATTTTCCCCGTCCTGTCAAAACTGTAGCTATCTATTCTATGCTCATCAGAATGCCTCCTGCATATCTCCTGAGTGCTTCATATGGTTGGAGAATTCATGGCAGCCACAGCTGCTTCAGTGAGTGCCTTTACTCCAAAACTTGGCTTCCCTTTCCTTTCTTCCTCCACTTTCTTCTGGCCACAAACGGAGACAATAGACATGATGTTGAAGAAGGACTGCCAGAAAAGGTAACGCATACAGAATTCCCGTTCGTTGGTCAATTTTTCCCAGTGTTTGATTCTATATTTCATAGTTGTTAATTATTTGTTTTAAGGATTGCTGCAACAAAGAATAAGAAAGTGAGTCATTTTCAAAATCGCTTCTACCTACCAGTATGGCTGCTGTCTTTCCTTTAAATTCAGTGAACCTCCCTCATTTTGCTGATAGTGCTTTGTATATCTGTTATTATTATTATTGTTGTTTTGCAGTACTCTGGAGTACATAGCACTTTTTGGCAAGCCTATCTGTATTATCATATATCCTAGCCATTGTATTACAAGCCTCTATAACTATAAATCACTAGTCAGGAGAGGAACATTAACTAGTACATGCGTGGGTAAGATGCGACCTATGAGCCAGATATGGATCTGACCTGTGTGCTGACCACCTGGACCCTCAGGCAGGGAGCAACCCCATTCCACTTTAAGCAGTGGACTGCTCCCAATAGTGCTCTGTGCTCCGGGAGCCTGGAGTGGGGGAAGCTTTGCATGCTGCCTCATCCCCAGCACAACTTCTCAGCTCAATAGGAGTTGAGAAATTATACTGGGGGTGAGGACAGCATGCGAAGTCTCCCCCTCCCCGTGGTGCCCAAAGCAGAGACTCAGCATAATTTCTCAGCTCCCATTGGCTGGTTTCACCACCCCATCCACCCGCTGATCCATGAAAATGAGTCATATAAGTGAATTTCTCCCTCAGCTAAATTTGTTACTCAGAATGGCAAAGGGGAAGGGAATAACAAGAAGGACTTATACCTCTATGCTGCTTGCAAGCAGAAGAGCAATGTTTTCTAGACATGAACAAGAGAACCCTGGGGGCTAGCCTGGATTAGCTCTAACAGACCATATATAGCTTGCTTATTATAAAAACTTCTATAGCCTTTGAAAATTTAAGATTCCAATTCATATATGTGTGTATGTTCACCTGTTTTAACCTTTTCCTATTTAATAAATCTTCCAATATTTTATTACAGGATTGGCTACAAACATTGTCTTTGTGTGAGAACTAAAGTGCAATTGACCTGGGGTAAGTGACTGGTCCTTTGGGAACCTGAATATTGCCGTGATTCATGGTGTAAGGGACCATTTATCACAAGGGTAGGCTTACCAAGGTGGCAAGACAGATTGAAGTACCCACAGGGACCATGCTAAGGCTGCTCCAGTGGCTTGACAATTGGTTGGTGAAATCTAAGTATCTAACTCACAATCAATTTAGGGTCCATGCCCTTCTTCTTTACAGTCTGCCCTGAGGTTGGTACTTTTGAGCCACTGTGGCATAGCTTGACAAGCAGCTCTGTTTCCTTCAGAGATCCTCTTTTAAAGTTTTTCCCTGTTTCCCAGCTTGCTGCTCAGTTCACTACCACTGCCTGTCAAGACACTATTTCATTATGCTGTCCTCTCACCTAGCTTCTCTTCTAGCTCACAGTTATAATTGGAAGGGTATGACCAGCTGTCAGAGGGTTAACAACCTGTCACTCAAACTTTCTTTAAAGGAACAGTGCTTCTACCAGTCTTCAAACCTCAATGCATCCATTTCCATGAAAAGAATTTTAAACCTCTAGTGTTCTAAGGGTTTAATTTTTTCCAGAAGTCACTCTTGTGTGTAGTTGGAATACTTGTTTGAATTTTTACTGTCACTTAGAGGTTCTCTAATGTTTTCAGTTTTCTGTGGAATTATTTTCAATTTAATCCCTATTAGAATCTATTTGGAACAGCGTTCTATGGAGCTCAGAGTAATGGTTCCATTTCACATCTGTGAACATGACTATGGAGGTACTTGTGTGCAGCTGCAATTTGTGAAAGTATAGTAGGGGGTAGCAGATTTAGCCATCACATTGCCCATATGGCTGCCACAGGAGCACCAGGGTATGAAGGTCATGAACAAAGTCACGCTCTGCCGTGCCTTTGTTTATAAAACTCCTTTGACTTAGTATACATGACCATGCAACTGCTGAGGTACCGCAGCCCAGGTTGTCAGTGAAATACCAGTTTCATTAAGGCTTTTGAACCCTATCAGGTTACACTTCAGAAGTAGTGACCAGCTTATTTAAAACAAAGAAGCTTTGACCTTTTTCCCCCTTTAAAACCAAAAACAGATGAAACTAAAGTGACTCATTTCCGGCTTTAAACAAGCTCTAAGAAATATTTTTCCAAGTACAGTCTGTGAGCTTTTCTTCTTTCTTTTTTTTTCTTCTTTCTGTTCTTCTTTTGCATAAAGATCTTATTCCTTTTTTGTCAAGGTCAACATATTTATTACTTATATTCATGGTGTGATTCTTTTCTTCCTCCTAGCTTTCTTTCTTTCACTCTTTCTTTTCTTTTTTATCTGTGTTGTTTATAACCATGACCCTTGATCCTCCAAGTCTTAAAAACAGCTTTGCTTTCAGCAGCTAAATCTGACAAGGTCAGCACTTTTCTGTTTATTCTGAGAATACTATTTACCCTCTGGGGTTTTTGAAAGCAATTCTGTAAAATATCACTTGGAAAAAGTTTGCAGTATTCACAGAGACTTCCATAAGCATAGTACCCAACAAATACCAACTTTTAACTCTGCGGAACTCAGGACAATGAAAGTCAACATTTTTTTTCAGAGAAAAAGGTATCTGAATAATGCAATGACCTTTCCAAAAAAAAAGCTAATGTATTTCATCTCAAACAGTTTGTCAGTCTAATAATAGTTAGTATAAGCTATTTCAGCTGTGTGAAATTCACATGTAATTATATGGGACATTCTATAGGATCAATTGATTCCTAGAATATCTTTACTGTTGTGTATTCAGCTGTGGTGTTATTTTTTCTTGAAAAATGATTTTCAGTCAAAATGGAAAACAATTCTGTGGTCCACAGAGTGTTCAAATGCTTTCTTCCCAGATAGAACCAGTGACACACAAGCAGAGTGTCACACACATTTTCTAAAAATGACATTAAAGTTCCATAATCCATTTAAACAAGTTGGATTATCTCATAGGATCTGCTGAAGAAGGTGATCTTGGAAGTGCAGCTCTCCCCTGGGTATATAAAACTGTCACTTCTGTAACCACACATTTTTCCTCCCTTGCCTCCTCTCAGTCTTGCTCAGATACCCTTCCCCTAGAACTTCAAGGAGATGGAGCCCTACTAAATTCAGGGGACATGAGTGAGGATAGAATGACATGGAGCTGGGGAGATTAACTTTTTGAAGCACTGTCCCCTGTAGATAATTTCCATACAGCAATCAAGGCAGACAACACAGTTTTGCAGCTGAGATATCTCTCTGGGTCTTCTTCTTGGCATTACTAAAACATGGTAATGGGACTCAGACAAAACTAGCCCAGTTGTGCAGGACCAGCTGTCTCTTCAAAATGGTTCCTATATCCATTCCAAAAGTGGCTCCCTAAAGCCCATGGGGAGTAAGATGTGGCTCCCAATATCCATGACCTCCTGATCCCTCCCACCAGGGAGAATGGTTTCAGGAAAATTCTTCCAGATGAACCTTGTGCAGCATATGGAGTTTTACTCCACCCCTTCACCAGCTTCGGCTGTCTGTCCCCATGAGAGATGATCTGACCTGTTGTTAGAGAGCCTGCTTTGCTACATTTGAAAAAAGGATTAGCTGAGGGGTTAAAAATGAAGCTGTAAAAAAGTTAAAACTGTACAAGTATTTTAATCTTTAAGAGCCACAGGACTCCTTGTTCTTTTGACTGAACCAGATTAAAATGTGTGCACCTCTGAAACAATGATTATTGAGACTGTACCCCTTTCCTGATTTAGTCTAAAGACAGAGTCTATATGTAACTGTATGTAACATGATGCAGAGAAATTAGAACAGGTTTGTGTGTCAGGAACTCCTGACTGTCAGTGACTTGCTGTGATAGCTCAACAAATCACTGCCCCTCTCTGCCTCAGCTTACACATCTGTGAGATGGGTATTATAATATTTAACCTGCTTTACAGTATAAAAGTGCATGTTGTTGCTATTGACATCATTAGTAATAGTATCTAAGGGCCTACACTGCAATCTTGCATTTGAGCAGCTGCACTATGTAGTAACATCACTGCAGCACTTCTGCTTAAAACAAGTCTAAGCTGACGAGAGACCGCTCTCCTGCCTGCCTAATAATCTCTGTGAGTGGCAGTAGTTATGTCATGAAGAAGCTTCCTCAAGGACATAGAGCTGTCTGTATGAGAGTGGTGGGAGGGCTAAGGTAGGTATAAAAGTGTTGCACAGTGGTGAGGATTTTTCACACCTCTGAATTGCATAATTAGACCAAAGTAAGTGTGTAGCATAGACCTAGCCTAAATATCTACCCACACAGTTGGCTGCCAACTCTGATCATGAAGACAAAGAAATGAAGAAGGGGGGAATTTACTTCTGCGATCCCATTAAGATTCTACTTGACTACTGTTTATAGGACATATGTGGTACCTTTTGAAAAGGCATGCATTTTATACTTAGTGGGCCGAAGTTTGAGAGATGCCCACACACTTAACTGACTAGGTGTGAGTATAAATAACCAAATGATGCATGCCAATAGGGTTTGAGTATACAAATTAAGTTTGCAATATGGTACATGAGTGGAATCTAATGCAATATGTTCACTTGTACAATCATTTGTTTCATATATCTGAAGGACTTGAATTGAATTAAGGCTATGCTGCATTTATTTCAACGTGAAATTACACTCTAGTTTAAAGAAGGTTGAAAGAAACGATAACAAAAATATTGTTAATGCAATGTTATGGTTTAGATTTAACAAGAACAAAAGTAAAAAAATTAAAAGTTAACATTTCTCACAGCACCCATAATTTGGCTTCATTGAGCATACTTATTTAATCAGAAAAGTTATCACAACACATAGCAACAGAAAATATATGTACAAAGGAGAACTGAGTTACATTTGCTGTGGGAACCATAACTTAGACTTTGCTAACTTCTATGCATGTAAAATCTCAAGTGTAGTATTGCATTAACATGGTTTCACTCACTACTTCCTCATGGCATTTCTTGGAATGAATATATTCCATTGCTTTAACATTTTATATAAAAGTATGGTCTAGACATGTACATGTACCAGTGGAATTAAATCATCAATAATCACTATCTAAAATGAATTACATTGCAGAAGCACAAGCTAATGATTTATCTTTTCTTTGTGGGACCGATCTCTATCAGATTGATTTATGTAGCAGCCAATCATGTTTCAGTAAACTGCAGCATGCACATGCATCTTTAAGTGATGATAAGCTGTACGTATCCATTTATTTGTACACTAAGATGGAGGGAAAATACCTCACCACACTAACCAAACTATCCTGCTACTCCAAAATATTTTTAAGAAGAGCTTATGAATATTGTACATTCCATGTTCAATGTATGGACAAATTAAACTAGCAAAATAAAAACACAAGCAAAAATATATACTGGAAGACAATGTTACAATTTTTTCTTCATTTTTATGACAATCTTATTTTTTCTTGCATGTTTACATTATTTGCTTTGATAGTAGATGCTTTTGTTGGTTGTTGGAGTGATTGACAGCTTCCTGCTGTTCTGTTTAATTGCCTTTACTGCTATGCAAGATTCTGTAGTTTCATAAATAAATCCTGTGTATGTGCATGCGCGCGCACGCGTGAATTGTAGAGGTTTAGTTTCTTTAAGTTGATTCACTAATCATTCAGTTACAGCTGTCACCATACTTATGTGCATTTTATTCTGTTGAATGTTCTATTCAATTCTGTATATTTTCTCAGCCTCTCTCTCACTATATTAAGGCGCAACATGGTACTTGTTTGGATTAAGACACTCTGTATCATCCATTTCATTTCAAAAGCAGCAGTAGAGATAATGGGGTTTTTTTACAGAAAAGAATATATTCAGAGTTCATAATTTTTTAAATTAAGAAATAAGCAAAACATGCACTGTGAAGAGAAAATGATTTCTCAGTTACAGTCACTTGTAGTCTTGGTTTATGTGTTTTACCCTTTGGACTTGTTCTTAAATAATGATTTGAAAAAATTATTCTCGGTCATAATGAGATAAATGATTTT